GGACCATTATCTGTTACTATCTGTCCTATTGCACCATAACGGCAATATAAGTCTTCCAAGAAGAACTTAGCCATAGCTTTCGCGGATGCGGATCATAATGCTCTCCCTTCTACGAATCGTGAAAGATCATCTCAAGCTAACACTAGATGCTTCAAACCGCCTCCGGCAGGCATCTTGAGTATGTCAACATATATCTTAGTAAAAATTGTGGCTGGAGTAGAGACAGTGATAGGGATATGCATTTTCTTAACAGATCGAATTTGGCAGTCATGGCAAGACTGCACATGGTGTTTAATGTCTGTATACAAGTGAGGCCAGAAAAATCTGTAGCGAATAGTTTTGAAGGTAGACTGTACTCCTTTGTGGCCTAAGTCTTCATGTGCTTGTATCAGAATAGAGAGTCTCTTGTCTGGGTCAAAGATTACAAGTAAAGGTGGTCTGTCTCATAAGTGTTTGTACATCTTGCCCTTCTGTACAAAAAATTGGGTTGCTTGCTTCACAAATTTCTTACATTTTCCTGTGGATTCAAAACTAGGAGCTTCTAAAGTTGCAAGGAACTTGAAAATGTCTGTTAACTTCTGCTGTTAATCAGCAGTGGACGATAATATGGATGGTAGCTCATTAGAGCTGTATGGTAGTGAAATAGGCATTTCAATGGTTGTGAATAAAGCGATTTCATCTAACCATGAATCATCTTCGGGAATAAATTCTTCATCTGAAGCTAGAGGATGTCTAGATAAACCATTTGGTCCTCTGAACTTGGTTGCTGGTATGTGGTGAAGTGTAAAATCAAATAGTAGGATGCCTTGGATCCATCTATTGATTGTTGCATTTGGTTGGAGATCAGGTTCATTTAGCATGCCTTTAATGTATTTAGCATCTACTTCAACGTGAAGATTCTGAACTCCTATGATATGAAGTCAGTAGTGACGTAATGCTCTGAAAAGTCCATACAGTTCAAGCTTGGGTTGAGAGTAACGTGATTCTGCATCACCCATGGGCAAAGAACCGTATCGTGCTGGACGTCAAATTCCATCATCATCGATCTGAGAGAGAATGATTCCTACAGCCATAAAGCTGGAATCAATGGAAAGATATACAGGGTTTGAGGAGGTATAGTCAATACTCCTCATTGCTGGTGCTGAACATATATGTTGCTTCAAAGTTTCAAACACGTAATTTTGTTCTTCTCCCCAAATAAAAGGGGCATCCTTTTTCCAAAGCTGGGTGATAGATCTAGCCAGCTCAGAAAATCCTAATATCCAAATATGAACTGTTCCACAAAGGCCCATGAATCCTCGTGCTTCTTTAACAGTGGAAGGGATTGGCCAGTTTACGAATCTTGGATACTTTCTCGGTGTCGGGTAATCTTCCTTCCGGTGTGCATCGTTGTCTGATGATAAGGACATCAGGAAGGCATAACTGAATTTTAGTAGCAGAAAATGTGGCTCCCACATCTTTTATACGGTGCATGATTTGGTGAACATCATTAGCATGTTCCCAAATAAATCGTTTAATCCCTGCATTTTCTTCTAAGACTTCGGGATTACCTTCTTCATCAGGGTAGATGGTCTTAGGTCCCTTGACCAGGAAGATCATCAATGAAAACATTGGCTATGTGAGGGATTTCATCCTGCAGAACAAAGCTCGTACATTTCTGAAATTCTGCAGGCACATTTGTGTATCCCATTGGAAGGGCAGTTAATCGTAGCAATCCTAACGGAGTTAGGAAGGCTGTTAAATCTCAGCTGTCTGGGTGCATTTTTTGTGCATCAAATCCCCAGAATAAATCAAAAACGGTGTAACATTGTGCTCCTGCAAATGACTCTACAAAGTCATCTACTATAGGAATAAGGCCAGCATCTCAGATAGATATCTTATTGAGCGGTTGAAGGTCATGGACTAGCCTTAATTTCCCATTCTTCTTGAGTACACAGAACCATCGTGAACAATATGCAGATTGACTAGGTTCATATACTCCTGCATTAATTTTAGACTTAAGAAGTTCAATGACTTTCTGACATATCCCAGGAGGGATTGGGATATTCTTATATTCCCATGGCATATGTGGCACAGTGGGAATAATATACTGGTGTGGTGTTCAAGCTCGGGCTAGCCTCGCAGAACCCCATTTCGCTATAGGAGTCAAGCAGCCTAGATATCCACATCGCATCCATACACCACTTCCTTGCAAAGTCTCGACTCACTTGACTCACCTATGTCGTGCCGGTCTATGTCCGACTTGGCCAATACGGATCCGTGGTCTCGGTCTCTCGCAGAAGAGTCCAGGGTTGTCTTAACTGTCCCTTGCTCGTCGGATTGGCCATCACGCACCTCAGCCGACTGTTCCGTCCCATCGGTACCGAATCCTCCCATGTCCTGCCCATGTCCACCTATCTCCATTGGTGTGTTTTAAGCTTATTTTACCATTACTGAATGAACAGCAGGTGTTATTACATGTATTCCCATGGCCGCAGCACTCGCAAGCCTTATTACATATCGACCCGAGTACCTTGCATTTCACTACTACTCTCGTCTGTGCGATTCCAGATGTTCATGCAGTTAGATAAATAGGACTCGAGTTTTGTATTATTCCTTACTTCCCTTCCTCGGACATACCTGGTACCGTTGTAGGAGTCACCTTAGTTAGTCTTTGATTGTGCAAATTGATCCCCCTTGCTTTTATCAATGGACGTGCCTTGACTGCTCTAAGTGCACTCTATCTAAGGTTTCTTTACCTAGGCCTTGTGAGATCCGGACCACTACCGGTAGTCTTACGTCGGCAACCCATACCTAGTCTTACCTCGTCATACCTAGTTATACCTGGACTGTTAAGACCGTACTCAAGTAGTATCGGATCTGAAGGGCTTCGGCCTCAGCTCGTGCGCTGTGCCCCTTTCCCGAGTCTTGCCCCTTATTTCAGAGAGCTAAAGTATCGCGTCTAGTGAGACGGATAAGTATTGTAACGGATAAGTCTTGTATCGCAACGGATCCGTTAAGACTTCTGGGTATCGAACGTGTAGAGTAACGGCTAATCCGGATCGGATCCGGACTAGAAACTAACGGGTGGGGACTGTCCGAATGACAGAGGCGGATATGTAGACTATAGGAATCTATCCTAAGTCTCGGAGTAGACAAGAGTAGCGTACTCAAGTCCGGACGGATAACGGAGGGACTTAGAGTCCAGACGGAATGAGTGCAATCTAAGATGATATTCGAACTGATCTACTACAGCGCATATACAAAGGTTTATATACTACGGATAGCTAACGGAATGATCAATAAGCAAAGTCTAAGTGGAGCGTATTGGTAAGTCGGATGGATCACGAATCATGAACCGGGAATGAAGTACAAGTAAAAGCGGATTCGTAAGTGTAGCGGATCAGTAAGCAAAGCGGAAGTAAAGGATAACCGGTATACCGGTGTACAGGAATATCGAAAGGAGATGAAACGATAGTTAGAGTACATGGAACAGGATGAAAGAAAGAATCAAACGCGGATCTTGGGACCGGACGACGGATATGTTCATTCGGATCTGGATCGGATCTGAGGATTCCGGATCATTCGGATCTGTAACCAGGTGATATATGGTATATGGACATGGACTCTGCTTACCCTCGGCCTAGACTTACCTGCTGCTCATCGGCATTGGACTCCTCATATCGCACGGTGTCCTTCATTGGTATCTTGCATCAGTGTCTTTCACTCGTATCTCGGCGTAGGGTTGTACCATCGGTTATCCCATATCGCGTCGGACCTTCGGTCGGTCGGATATCTCAGGTCCTTAGATCTTACTTTTCTTCCTTTCTCTTCCCTCGCACTATTAGAAGGAAGTGCTTCAATAGCAGTCCCCTGTCGGTACTGCACTCACACCTATTAGGATTTAGTAAGTTAGTTGGTATATTCTAGCTGACTACTATTTCCTTTCACCACAATGGGGTGAAGTAGATTCTTTGAGGGTTCCCCTATCGGTCTCCTCAAAGGCTAGAGTTTCTTGGTTAAGTTGCATGATATGCTGAAATAATTTGACCTCTTCAGGCCAGAGAAAATTTACAGGGTTGATTTGGAGGCTAACCATACATTCTTTAGTTAGTCGCCCATTAGGAATGAATTCGGGAGGGTGCGGTGTTAATGGGATCAAATTTCGGAGGGGGTCGTGTGGAAAATGTCGGTTTACACGGGCTTCTTGTGGAAAGGTACCAGAAACTGGTTTTACCCTCTTGTCCACTCGCTTATACATAGTAAATATAGGGTTATCCTCGAGGAAATTCCATCCTGAGTCCCCTGTAAGTATAATGTCTGATTCACTATCAGAATCTTCAGAAAAATCAAGCTCTGCTGAAGAGAAAGGCTTTTCACAGTTTGTACTATCAGCAGGGCTTAAATCATAGAGGGAATTTATAAGTCTATCATAGCATTCAGCTATGGACTCATCTTCAAAGACTTCGTGTGGATATACTAATTGACTAGTGCTTAAGCCCCTTTCCTTAATGTCAGAGACACTTAAGCTCAAAAAATTCTTGCAAGACTTAGAAATTTCGGACGAGTTAACAGACAACCAAAGAATTGAATTACAGAACAGGGAACTCATATCAATAGCTATCTCTTGACCTTTTTTGTAAGTAACTCGTATCAAATCAAACAGAGACAGAAGCCTGCATTGTGGGTTATATATATAAGTACGAAGCTTGAACAACAGAATACAGGCCAGAATCAGGCATTCGAATCGAGATGTGAGTGAGATAGTGATATAAATACACATAAAGATCAGAATCGAGGCGAGGGTCCATTTTTTATGGGTGAAGACCGATTTTCGGAGAGTCGAGGAAGACGGAAGTGAAAAACGTGAGAATTCGGGTGCGAGATGTCAAAAATCGAAACGGTAGAGTCGAAAAACGGGATAGGTGATAGCATAATTGAAAAAGTCATAAACACTAGAGGCAAAAGTTCAAGTTAGAAAAAATAAGGAACATGCAAAGTACAAGCCTACCTCTAGTTGCCTAGAGGAAGAACTTTCGAACAACTTTGCTTGAGGGTCTCGTGCATTTCTCAGATCCTTTAAAATTCTCTTCCTCTTCATCAATACCGGATAATTTAAACCAGAATGAAGGAAGAGATGACGGACCATTGAGGTATTCCGTCCGAAAGGGCGAAGTAGAAATAATGACGAGTGATGTGCATTTGACATTAAGCACCTTATCACGGTCTCGAGCAAACTGAATAATCTGCTCCGTGGATCCCGTGTCAAGAAGGTCACATTCAGCCATGGCTCTGATAATGTCCTCATCCAGGAAAGGCATCAATAGAGTATCTTTGAGCTTTGATGCGAAATCATCTTCCCCATGAAAACGGGCAATAGCAATATAGGCATTAAACCTTCGAGCCTCGCTTGGGGTTATAAAAGGGTTAACTTCATTATAGTGCCCAATGAAAAAAGACTTAGGAAGGTTCCCTTTGATCACGTTTCATTTATCACATTTGAGGACTGGTAAGAGATTTGAAGCTTCAGAATACATGCACGCGGATAGGACGGTGTCGATAGTGTAAATAAGATGTCGAGTGTGCGAGCGTGTCACGAATTCCAAATACAAATCATTATTCTTTCTTGAACACTCGTGAAACACCCATTAAGCGCCCGACACAAGTGCCTGTCATTAACGCGCAACCAGCGTCTGTACCCATAACGTTCACAAACCCTAACCCGAATTCATCATACTCGAACTTCTCATATCCAAACTTCTCTATTCCATTAGCGCCCACTACTCTCATTTCCGATATTCCCTGATTTCGACTTTCTTTCACAAGCGATCAAGTCACGTGACGATAGAACCTTCGAGAACCCTAACACAGCAGTAACATGTTTCATGACATCATAGGTGTAGTTATATTTAGATCATTGTACGATTCTCTTTTCTATTTAATGATTGGCTAGTTAGTTCATACTCAGATTCAGTCTCCGTTTCAATATATATATATAGGTAGCTCGTTGTAGTCAGTAGTTCTTTAGTTCAAACCTCTTTTGTATTAGCTCACTGCTAGCAATCCTAAGACGTACCTGCTATCCTCTATTCTCTTGTTGTGATAACCTTGTTTGAGTCCTAGTCTCTGCCCCTGCATTAATTCGTTATAAGGGTTGTGACAGAGCGATGATCAGTGATTTCACTAATGTGCTCAGGCCAGTCTTGTTGAGAGCGTGGACCTCCAGTAGGCAGATTAATGTTACCAGTAAGCACTTGGTGCCCCTGGGTAATCGTCGTTCTGGTAGGCTTCGATGTCCCAATCAACTGAGATAAGCTGGTCCTGGCAAAAACAGTAAGAGCAATAGCATTCAGCACGTAATGAAAGTAGATTGAATGGAAGTCGCTTAGACTAGCAGTTTCCTGACATAAGGTAACTATTAGTGTCCCTGGGGGATATTCCATCAAGGACGGTCGACGGGTGGACTCGATAGAAAGGTGTCATCTTCAAGAAGACTTCGGATTGAGGTATCCCAAGGTCCAAAATGTCTTCCTGAGGTCGCAAAGTCTTCAGTCGAAGATGGGGGTGTGGGAGGAACATATTTGGGAGGCAAAGGTTCTCCCAGCTGGCTTATATTCAGGGTTGGTCGAACTGAAATAGATGTCGAGAGGCTCGTTTTCTCCTATAGCACTAGAACGTACAAGCAAAGTCACAGGAATAGATTTGTGTTCATCAGTACCGGAAAACGAAGTGGACGAGTCCACGAGTGGGAATGACTCTACCTGTACACTTGCAGGGTCGTCACTCATGTTAATATTGCCATAGTCGTCCGGCATATCATGTAGGCTATATCCTGCTTGTTCGAGAATTTGACTAAGTGCTTCATAAAAGTTCGTGACTTGCGAATGCTCACCAGCTCCCTGTGTGTTAGAGACATCGTCATTGATAGAGGACCTTTCAGCACTTTCCTCATAGTGATTCTCTCCATGTAGCACAGTGGGCATTGGCAATTTGGGTGAAACGGCAGTGTTAAAGGAGAAAAGAGTCACATTATGGGTAGATATAATAGAGGAGAACGTGTTAGATGATATGGGAGGAGAGGAGAACGCATTAGCTGAAATATGCTGCATAGCGTTTTCTTTCTCAATAGGTGGGGCAGCAGGAGGAGATGCATTAGACGAAGGTCGATGAGTAGTGATCTCATGGGTCATGACAGTAGGAGGAGAGAAGGTGTTAGACAGAGTAGAGAAAACAGTATTTTCATTGTTCATGACGGCAGGAGAGAATGTGCTAGGCATAACAGACAGAAAGGCCTCCCTTTCAGGCAATACAGCAAGAGACAACATGTTAGACAAAGCAGATTGAGTACCATTCTCATGAGTCCCGGTAAAAGGGGAGGAGGCACTAGACAATGCAGGTAAAGTGGTCTCTCCCATGCTTATAGCAGGAGAGGATGCATTAGGCGAAGTGGCCTGGGCAGTGTTCTTATTAAGTGGCGCAGAAGCAGAGAAACACGCTAGACGAAATGACCTGGGTGGTGTTTTCCATATTCATACCAGCAGGAGAGAGTGTGTTAGGCAAAGGAGGTTGAGCAGTGTTCTCATTAAGCACGGTAGGAGCAGAGAACACACTAGACGAAGTATACATAGCAGCGTCCCCATTGCACAAGTTAGGAGGAGGAGACGTGTTAGACGAATTGGACATAGAAGTGTCCTCATTGGACCTAACAGAAGGATACAGCGCGCTGACTGAAGTCGGGTGAGTTTCTTTCTCCATGGCATCCATAGTCGTGGTAGAGAAGGTGCTGGGCGTCATGGATATTTTGGCGTCCTTCATAGTTGAAACAGGAGAGGACGTGTTAGGCAAGGTACCATTTTGTATGTTCATGGTTGAGGAAGAGAACAGATTGACTAGAGTGATGGCTTTGTTAGAAAAAATGGCGGCTGAAGACGCGTCAGATGAAGTACCGTTCTGAGAAGATGACATAGTGGTAGAGGTTGAAGACGGTTTAACTGAAAAAAATGCTCTCATCAGAAAAGACAGCTGATGAGAACACATTAGACGAAATACCATTCTGACCAGGCGCAGCAGAGAATGGTTTAGCATGAGTGGTGTTCTCAACAGGGAGGGCGACAGGAGAGAGAGCATCCGGCGGGGTTCCATTCATAGAAGGTTCAATAGATAGAGGGACCAGTTTAGCTAGAGGGACATTCTCATAAGGCGGAGCAATGGGAGAGAACGAATGCGACGGAGTACCATTTTGGGTGGGCGTAGATGTAGGATTTAAGAGGCCGTTGGGTTGAAAAAAGCTTGTGCCTGGATCAATATCCATGGCAAACTCGTTAAACGGATATGTTTTGACAAAAAATGAGAAGAATGACTCACCCGCCACATTCTCATTCTCTCCTTCACTTTCCAACTCATCTTCTTCCTCCTCAAACACACACCCTTCCCTCCTCTGGGCGTTTCCAAGGCTTGGGAAGGTGTCAGAGTCCAATTCATCGAGGGAGTTTGAAAGTCTGAGTGGAACTACATGTGGCGCCGGTGTGACGATGTGGCCGTCCTGTCTAGTGGGGAGATATTCCCACTGGACAGGAGAATAGGATGGGGATGGTGGGAAAGAAGAGCCTTGAGACTCTGACATGTTGGTGGGCGAATAAGTCGAAGGGTAAAATGAAAGAGTAAGGGCGTCATCATCAATGGTCGTTAAAAAGTGGAAATTCCTGGGGTTCCTAGAAAGGAAATCGTGGACACTTCCATGCGCGCTTGCAAAGGTATTGTCACCCATGCCCACGCGTTGTTTGGCCAAGTTTGACAGACTAAATGAAGTTTGTGGATTATATTCAAGTGGCCTTGCGCTGTATATTGCAGGCACGAGGCTTGTGGACCGCGAACAAAAATCAGATGTAAATGCCTTTTTTATAGGCAAATCTATTTGATTTAAATTGAATTTTTCTGAATAATATCCGGGTTCGCTGACACATTGCTGATGAATACTTTGTTTGGCTCAGGTTTGAATTCTGATCGGGAATTCACATGATTCAATGCATCGTGTCGTTGTGGACACATCTCGAAAAAATCTGTGGACAGTTCATTTAAAACACTGAGCATACTCGATTCGGTAAGATTTCTGATTCATGTGGACGGCTCGAAGTCCCAGTGTGGATCGGTCCTGTCAGGTGTACACAAAAGTTCGTAGCTGACCTCTAGATCTAGTGGATCTTTAAACAATAACCATGTACTGTTTTTTCTTTCATCAATAGATACATAGTTACCCGCGTTGCCAGGGTCTCCCTAACAGTAAGCTGAATGGGACATGGTCACCGACAAATAAATTTGCTTGAGTATTTACACCCCCACAATTTAGGGGCACGTTCTGCACTAATCCGCGAAGTTTGCCTTCCCCGCCATTCGCATCATTCATTGAGACGGATTTGGCAATGTCAATAGGATGATTAATAATCATTTTCCAAATATGCTTACTAACAATATTCAATTGTGAACCGGTATCAATAATAGCATTTATTGTGTGGCCATCACACTGCATAGAAATCTTGATTAGTAAGCCTCGGGTTTTGGTCCACACTGAGTGGGCCTCAATTTTCGGTTCATTTTGAATCAGTTTCGGCTTAATAGCATTAGCGAGAATTCCACAGAGCTCACGGGAAGTCCCGAGTAATTCTCCCACCTCAAGTCTTATGGGAGTCCTCAATACTGACTCAGGGACCTTCTCCAGTTTGAACTTGGCTGTTAGCTCTGAGATTTGTTGACATGCCAGCGATTTCCAGTCAGCGCTTAAATTATCTTGGGGAGTGGTTTCCTTCTTTTTCACTAAGTCTTTCTTCCTCTCTATGGCGTCATCATCCATGATGATGTCCTCACTGTCCCAACCTCTTCCTATCTTGCCTCTGTCCACCTGCTCACTGTTTTCATTGTTCTTTACAGGTGGTTCTCCCTTTCTCTTGGAGGATGGGTCTTTCTGGTTGGATGACGCACTTTCCTTGGACTTAGTGTGTGGCTGCGCCACATTTCTCTTAGGTGCATTTTCTCTCTTGTTCTCTCTTTCAACACTGTTTCTCTTAGACTCTGAAGGTGGGAACACGTTATTGAAATGTTCCTGCCTCGCTCGGTTCGAGTTCCGCATGGTTCATTCCACTGGGAACGCAAAATATTCCTTGTTGGAGTCGTTATCTGTGGCGCTATTGTATGTACCTTCCTCTGATTCGGTTTTGGTTTTCGGTTTTGGTACTGATGTATTCCTCAATATATGCACTCTTAGATTGTTCTTTGCTCGTTTTAGTTGACCTCGTCGCCTATCCTAATAAAATGGGATACAGGCACTTGGTCCTCACGCTTTAAAGCTTCCATGACGCTTTCCTCAGGAAGCCTTCTGATAAATCAGCCAGTCTGGCCTCGCGACACGGCCGTTCTGAGTTCTAATAATTTTCCCTTCCCCAATTAACTTTGTCAGTGGCAGACAGAAGGGTAGGCTGTGTCCCTTCTCCCCACACCCAAAACACATTCTCTCTTGGAATGGGGTGTTCGGCGGACTGTAAAATCTTGTTCCTGGTTGTGCGCCCTTAGATACATTCTGCCTATTGTTAGGCCGGTTCTGATTATTTATATTCATTTGACTTGGCGCCTGTTTATTCTGTGAATATGATTCGTTTTGACCCTTCTTTTGCGGTGCAGCTAATAAATTCTCAACTCGCGGGATCAATACAAGTAGCCCAATAAAATATAAGTGCATAGTCAGGGTCATCCAAAGATAATGAATTCAGCTTCTTAATGAGTCCCTCTACTTCATTTAGGGGCTCTGAACAAGTTTGGTCTGAATTCCTTGGTGTCTTTGAAGTCTGTTTGTGTGCCTTTAACTTAGTGTTTTTGGGTTCCTTCTGTGTGCTTTTCTTGGACTCTTTCTTAGTGTCTCATGTTCCTTGAGTCCTCTGTTTGCTTGGAAAAAACTCCTGTTCTGAGTCAGCTTGAATCAGAATCCAAGCTATTTTGCGAAGTTTCTTCGGTGGTCAAGTCCTCTTCTGACTCAGTCTCCACTTCAGATACTAGAAGATCTGCATCAAATCTGTCTCAATGCAACAGTTTCTCGGCTATGGCTGTTACTTTATCGACTGGAAATGCCTCGGATAGGTCTCTATCAGGATTCTTGGCCATTAAGCGGGTCTCTATCTTAGCTCATAATTGCTTGTAGATTCCCTCCCAGAAGTAACTTGCATATTCTCCCTTAGTTAATTTATTGGCCTGCTTTAGCCAACCTCCAATACGAATAAATCCTCTTACTGTACTTCTTCCAGGCTGTAAGACTTGAGATTTTCTTTCCTCACATTGTCCTTCTGTAGGACAATAAATCCTTTCTCTTATATCTCTTGCTGTCTAGATCTGCATCATAGTATTTCATGATGTCAGCCTTAAGCTCTCTCCAGCTAGGGGTGATAAAGCTCTCTAGACCTTCGACAAATTTGGTGATGTGACGTGACATATACTGTGTGATAGTTTCACATTTATCTTTATCTGAAGCTACGTTGTTAAATTCACACAGTTTCTCATAGTGTTTCAGAAAGCCCTTGACTTCTGAATACTGTCATATCCTGTATTCTAGACCTACGTCCAATGATGTTCCCACGCCTTCCGGATGCCTTCCGGATGCACATCCGGACCTCCATACCCTTATCCATGACTCCATACCCTTATCCATGCCTCCAGTCCTCCAGTCCACTATCGGTTTGGATCCATACACCTTCGTACATCCATGTGTCCATACCTTCGGACCTCCGCAGCTAAGCCTGCTTCATCCACCCTTAGTCCTATCGGATCCGAGCTCATTCCATCTTGGACTCTACCTTCCCTAGACTATCGGTCTATATCCATGATCCTTATCCTAGTCCCATCTTTACCTAGATCTCTGGATCCGCTCATCCGATATCCAGACACTTCATCCGATACCTCTAGACCTCCGGATCCGACCTATACTCATATCCGAAGCCCAAACCTTAAATCAGCGTCTATCTCCTTATGGTAATCACCTTGACTCCGGACTTCGGTTATCTCTGTTTCCGTCTTGCTTATCGATCCTTGTACTCTGTTCATCTCCGAGTTCATTTACTTATGTTCCGTTCATACTTACCAATATGTTTCCACATGCTCGTACATAGCATTTGTGTTCAGCTTACTTATCCTCTCGGATCCTGTCCAGTATATAAACCTCTGTACAACTCCTGTAAAGTTCCTTAGTTCGAATATCAACATAGACTTGCTCTCTCGCATCTTAGACTTCACTCATTCTTGTCTTGGACTTTGGTCTGTCTTAGTCTGACCTTTCCTTAGGCCTAGGGAAGGATTCCCTAGGCCGACTTTCTGGTCCTCCAGATTTATCCTTCTGTCTATATCCATGCTTAGGGATTGACTCCCTAAGCTGAAGTTTTGCCTTTCCGGCACTTCCTGTCTTTCCGAGACTTCTGTCTAAACCCCGTCTATCCGACTCTACCATAATGTAGTCTACCTCTGTTTGTTTCTACTCCGGATCCTTGTCCATAGTAGCCTTTCCCCTCCTGTCCTAATCCTGTCCACTCCTCCAGTCCTCCTAACCTTCAGACATTGTAACCTTCAGACGTCGTACCCTCCGGACGCCGTTACCTTCAGACCTCCGGACATCCTGTCCTTCGGACCACTCCTCCTATCCTATCCTGCTTTGGACTCTGTCCCTTGCAGCCTATCCTCTATATGTTTCTATCTAGGGAACTTACCATGGGAAGTCCTTCAGCACTCCACCAGAGTAGCCAGCCTCCAGAAGTCCTTCGGACTTCATCGGATTCCATCCGGACTTCATTCTGAAATTAAGGGCACGTACTCGGGTAAGGGGCACAGCGCACAAGCTGAGGCCAAGCCCTTCGGATCCGTTAACCCTTGAGCTATGGTCTTAACAAATACCCTCCCTTGAACTTGGCAGGTGCTGCCTTAGATCCGGGGTTGGGCATCGTTAACGTGGACAGTGTAGACGGATTTGCCATTGTGCGAATATCTGAGTTGGCAAATGTATTGATAGTGGCTTGGCGTGGGAATGTATCAGAATGTTCCACAAAAATAGTGGACGATGACAAAGATGACGACGTGGTTTAAAAATAGACGATGACGAATATGACGTGATTTAAAAGTTCCACAATGAACTTTCTCAGGCGATGATCAGTTTAAACTTTAAACAAGAAGAAGCCTCCCTCGCGGTGGGCTCCAGTGATGTCTTGCTACTTAAGGGTCTTATATGGAACGCATATATAGTGACAACACAACTATACAGGGATAAGACTACTTGCCAGTCCTTAAGTACATGGTCTACGACTTTTCTAGTTTTCGTGGTAGATAACTGTGTGAGTTCTTGGGAGGATTTACTGAAGTGTCCTCTTCTTGTCTTTCTCGTGATTTCAGTGATACAAAGTTTCTCAGTGTTGTATAGTCAACCTCTAGTTTAGGTAGTATATAACTAGTAGTAGAAATGTCTTATATCTTACTTCAAGGCAACCTATTGGGCCTGCACTTTCAGAATCTTACTGGGTCTCACACAGTTTGAGAGAAGAGTGGAAAGTGGGAAGTTATGATTACTAGGTGCAAGATGGGCTCCTTTTATACCTTTTTGGGGCCCCCCCTTACTAAGCATGACTCATCACAGCATTAGTAAGTCACTGGCTTACTAACCATGCCATTTGGCAGTGCTGAATCAGCTGCTTATCAATCTAATATACATAAATAGTAAATACTATTACAAAGCATGATAAATCATGACAAAGCATAACAAATCATGACAAAGCCTGACAAATCATGACAAATCCTTACAAATCAGCCTATTGACAGTCACATGACATGCTTACAAACATATCTGATGGCTCACTGAAGGATCTGTGTCTGAAACAAATGGAAACAGACAGAAACAAATGGAAACTGCATGACAAATCATGAAGGATCCTTACAAATCAGCATATTGCTAGTCACATGACACACTAAGTAGCATATTTGTGGCTCACTGAGTAAATTGATGGCTGAATAAGCCTTAGAAAAAGAAAGAGAAGGAAACTGAAGGAAACTAACAAACTGAAAATATAAGTACAAGTAAATCTGTCATAAATGAAACCAAGCCTGTAATACAATGAAGTATACCTTAGTATACTCTTCCTGTGATTACTTCTTGTCTATGTATGTCATGGTATGGTACCCATACCATGCATGACAGCGGTGGATCAAGCAGTATTCTATAGGAAGAGGCAGAGCGAAGAACTCACCATCATCGTTGTGCACATCGATGACTGCACACTTGCAGCTAAGTCCATGGATGAGATAAGCAAACTAAAGGACCAGATCAGGAAGCACGTGGAAATCACCAACCTTGGTGAACTCCACTGGTTACTTGGAATCAAAGTCACACGAAACCGTGACAAATGTACCATTTCCTTATCTCAATATTCCTACATTGAATCCATCATCCGTCGCTTCTGTTTTGAAGATCTCAAACCTGTCTCAAATCCTATGGAACCTAGTACCCGACTTCACTCTGGTCAATCACCATTCACAGGTGCTGACTTCACAGCAATGCAACACATCCCCTACCGAGAAGCCATCGGCTCTCTTATGTACACATCACTCGGAACACGACCAGATATCTCTTATGCTGTAACAATCGTCTCTCGCTTCTCTGGCAACCTGGGAATAACTCATTGGGATGCTGTCAAACACATCTATCGGTACCTCATAGGGACAAAGGACTTAAAATTGACCTACAGTGGTGTTCAAGGAGCGTCAATAGGATATGCTGATGCAGATGGGAGCATGGCAGAGGACAGAAAGGCAATCTCTGGGTACACTTTTCTAATCGATGGAGGAGCGGTCTCATGGTCATCCAAACAATAAAGTATTGTCTCCCTCTCTACCACAGAAAGTGAATACATTGTGGCAACCCATGCCACAAAGGAAGTGCTATGGCTCCATTCACTCATTGGCGAGTTATTCACCCCCATCACTACTCCTACCACATTATTCTCCGATAACCAATCTGCTATTGCTCTCGCCAAAGACCACCAATATCACGCCCACACCAAACACATCGACATTCACTTCCATTTCATTCGTTGGGTCATTGACAATGAC